CTGCGTTCTTCGAAACCTACGTTCCTAGAAACCAAGATACCCAGAAATCTATTAACCCAGTTACCTTGCCCCACTTACGTCCACCATTTGTCAAGGAGTCCCTAATGGATATATCGGGCAATGTCTCTCGTAACGATTCCAATCGACGATATAATAAACTCTTCGGATGGTGCTTTCAATACTCGAGTATTGAAAGTTGATCGTGCCAATCATTTTCTCTCGACGACACTTCTTCCTAACAAGCTGAAGGACAAATGAGAAGCGTCCAACGTTGGTACATAGAGTTCAGTCAAGTGAGGCCACTCCTGAGCCACTAATTAGAATTTGAAGGGGATGGGTACACCTTTTGGAAAGTACCGAGCTAAATCCGTGTACGAGGGCCAATACGTGATTCGAATCCACGCGGATGGCGTCGTCCAACCAGTTCGGCTTTCATCTGCGGTTAACCCACGTTAAAGCGTTTCGCGTATATTCCTGATATCGACCAGTTTTTGCTATAACCCGGACAAGTGATTTCGTCCGGAAAAGGTCGGGCAAAATTAAAGGAGAAAAAAAAAACGTCTGCGGCCCAAATGGAAACGGGGCGTACGAGGGAAAATCGTGGGCAAAAAATCAAGAGAGATCTTTGCTCGCGAATATTTTATAATTTGCGTGGATTTTTATCGATTCGAGATAAGAGGATGAAAATATTATTTCTTAATTAATAAACACTCGTTCTGGATTAATTTAAATAAGGACAAGCACGAGCTGGTTAATGTGGTGGGTGTTAATTAAGCTTATAACATTTTCTTTTTTTATTTATTAAGGTGCTTGATGGAAGGTCAAGATGAGGCCAAAACGTGTCAACTAATTTCTGTTTGGTTTCTTTTGATTTTAACGCATTGTACATTTTTAGTTGTAGTATTTCATTATTATACATTTTGTTATTATATTTTAATAATATCATTATATATTGATTGTTATTATTTACTGATGTTTTGGTCTTGCAAATAAAAATTATATAAGAAATACACAAATACAAGATTGATATAAGAAAGTTTTGTTATAATACTTTCAATGTATAAAATAATAATTACATTATCAGACACATTGACATTAATGTATATAATTGACAACATCTACATATACCTTGACTAGAACAGAATAAAAATAAATAAGTGGAATAAAAACTTGATATTATATTTACTTTGTGGTTCTACAAACGGAAGTACCGTTTCAGTTTTCTTTTGCAATAACACAGCTTAAACGATGACAAAGCGAGATAGGAAACACATACGATCCCACGAATAATAAAAACGACAGCGCAACGTCAGACGAACGTTCAATTCGAAGGTCTTCTCTTGAACCAACTATAAACGTAGCCAGCTTTTGGTACGACCTGGAACCACCTGGTCGTGAAAATATCGAACAAAAACGATGGTAGAAATATAAAATGAAAAAAGTGTAGAAAAAAGAAAGCGAAAATAGAGATTAAAATGTTTACAAATTTGGGTTATTTGGGGGATATGGGGGATTTGGGGACTTGGGACATTTGCAAGATTTGGGAGATTTGGGGAATTTGGAAAATTTGGTGGATTTAGAGGATTTGGTGGATTTAAAAAATTTGGGGAATTTGCGAATTTAGAAATTTGAAGATTTACAAATTTGAGAATTTGGAAATTTAGAATTTTGGAAATTTGGAAATTTGGAAATTTGGAAATTTGGAAAATTGGGAAATTAGGAAATTAGGAATTTGGACAATTGGATTATTGGAAAATTGGAATTTTGGAATTTTGGAATTTTGGAATTTTGGAATTTTGGAATTTTGGAATTTTGGAATTTTGGAAATTTGGAAATTTGAAAATTTGGAAACTTGGAAACTTGGAAACTTAGAAACTTGGAAATTTAGAAATTTGGTAATTGGGAAAATTGGGAAATTAGGAATTTGTAGAATTGGAAAATTGGAATTTTGGAAATTTGGAAATTTGAAAAATTGGGAAAATAGGAATTTGGAAAATTGGAAAATTGGAAAATTGGAAAATTGGAAAAGTGGAAAGTTGAAAATTTAAAATTTGATTGAGGATTAATAAATGTAAAAATTTATGAAATCGGAAATTCGAAAGTTCTACAATCACAACTCCAAAATTCATAAAATCAGAAATTACATATTATTAATTTTCGTAACTCAAGAACTTACCAATTTGTGACCTTGGTACCTTAAAAACCATTAAACTTGAAAAATGTAGACAATTCAAAAGGCTCCCAAAATATACATCTCAACAATGTATAAATTGTTGATATAACGACCTCAAACGACCTCCCAAAAATGGAATCAAAACGCTGAAAATATCCTCCTCATACACGCTCCTCCACACATACCGCTTCCAACCCCCAAAAAGATCAGTTTTCCCAAAAAAAGAAATCTGGACATAAATAAAGGTAGACGCTCTGAGTTTATAAATACGACCCCGCGAAAGATTCTGTCCCGTCCGATACGCAAATACCGCAAATCCATGCACGCAGCGTGAATTATTAGATCCTAGAGTCTCCGAATGTTTCCAGCGTGACGACGATAAAAATTCTTGCAGGTGACGAGTAACCGTCCCAGGCAGTATATTTATCACGTGGAAAAATGCTGGCCACGCGGGCACGCCGATATTTATAGTCGATTCGGTTCGCCGAGCCGTTTTGTGTCCTTTCGAGGAGCCGAAGAGCGATGCGGTTGACCTGGCCCTTGTACGCGGCTCGAAAGAGCACTTTGAAGTGGCTCATATGTAGTGTTCGCCGTCGTGTGTACCGTAAAAGAGGAAAAGAGACGCGGAAACGGACGAATCTTTGGTTAAATAGAGAGGAAAAACCGGGCGAAAGGAAGGACGGAGAGCGAACAGAAGAAGCGAGTTGAACAGGGATGAACACAGGGCAGAAGAGTTTTGGCCAGGTTGAACGAATCTGTACGGTTGTGTAAAAGCAATGCGTGTACATGTATCAGCGTATGCTGCACAACGTAGGAAGATAGGGATGAGGTCACTCGGTGTAGATCGATGGGAATATTTTCCGGACGGCCTCCTCTTCAGGGATTGACCGAAATAACTGGGCACCGTACTTTACGGCTTTGCGCAGTAGATGATATCGCAGACTATGACCCCCGCGATGGTAACCTTTCGTCCTCCTTTCTTATCACGATTCGATAACGCGTTTTGGAGATTTTTGGGAGCGGGATTTTGGGAAGGTGGGGAATTTGGAGATTGCGAATTTTGGGGTTTTGAGATTTGAGGAGGTGGATTGTAGGGTTTGGGAATTTGGGGATTGGGAGATTTTGGATTTTAAGAAGTTGAAGAATTTGGAGATTTAGGGATTTGGGGACTTGGGAAGGTGGGAATGTTGGGAAATTTGGGACTTGGGAAAGTGGGAATTTTGGGACTTTGGAAGGTGAAAATTTTGGGACTTCGGAAGGTAGGAAATTTGGGACTTGGGAAGGTAGGAAATTTGGAACTTGGGAAGATGAGAATTTTGTGATGTGAAAATTTGAAAAATTGGGGACTGTGGAAGGTGGGAATTTTGGGTTGAGTAAATTTGGGAAATTTGGGACTTGAGAGGGTGGGAATTTTGGGAAATTTTGGACTTGGGAAAGTGGGAATTTTGGGATGTGAAAATTTGGGAATTTTGGGACGAGTAAATTTGAGAAATTTGGGACTTGAGAGGGTGAGAATTTTGGGAAATTTGGGACTTGGGAAAATGGGAATTTTGAGATGTGAAAATTTGGGAAATTTGGGACTGTGGAAGGTGGGAATTTTGGGACGAGTAAATTTGAGAAATTTGGGACTTGAGAGGGTGGGAATTTTGGGAAATTTGGAACTTGGGAAAGTGGGGATTTTGGGATGTGAAAATTTGGGAAATTTGAGACTGTGGAAGGTGGGAATTTTAGAATGAGTAAATTTGGAAAATTTGGACTTGAGAAGGTGGGAATTTTGGAAAATTTGGGACTTGGGAAAGTGGGGATTTTGGGATGTGAAAATTTGGGAAATTTGGGAAATTTGGGACTTGGGAAGGTGGGAATTTTGGGAAATTTGGGACTTGGGAAAGTGGAAATTTTGGGAGATGGAATTTTGGGAAATTTGGGACTTTGGAAGGTGGGAATTTTGGACCCCAAAAATTTAAGAGTTCCAGATTTGGAAAGTTGAGAAATCTGAAGCTCAAAAATTTTAATTTGATGATTTTAAAACTTCACTTTTTTTGATTTTTGGGACTTAAAAATTTTAAAATTGATTGCTCCATCGATACTTACTCTACTCACTCCATATTAAATATTTAAATTAATCCTCCACCATAAAATCAGTAAAATCATTCTCCATAAAATAAATAATTATCTCAAACACAAATTCGTACCAGAATATAACAGGTTAAATAAATCACCCAAATGTAGGTCACGTGAATATGTTAATTAAATTTCTAGGATTTGAGCACTTCCCGTATCTACCACCAAATGATGAATAATAAATAATAAATAATTATACTAATCTATTCAACGCAACCTTTCACTCTTCCTGTTAACTCCACATTAAACCTCACATTAGCACAACATTTAATTGTACATTAAATTATATTCAGTATACAATGTAATTGCAATAAAATTTTGTTCAGTATAAAATATAATTACAATAAAATTGTATTGAATATAAAATATAATTGCAATTTTGCATTCAGTATAAAATGTAATTGCAATAAAATTGTATTCGATATAAAATGAAATTGTAATAAAATTTTATTCAGTATAAAATGTAATTGCAATAAATGTGTAGGTATTCGGTGTAAAATGTAACTGCAATAAAATCATATTGAATATAAAGTGTAATATCAATTCTGTATTCAGTATAAAATGCAATTACAATAAAATTGTATTCAGTATAAAATGTAACTTCATGAAAATTGTATTCAATACAAAGTGTAACTTCATGAAAATTGTATTAATGGTATAAATTGTATAAATTGTATTAACTGCAATTTTTCAAATTTCTTTTCAGAACCAAAAACGGAGATCCTGGGAGCACCGGATCTGTACATCAACCGAGGTAGCACGATCAACCTAACGTGCGTCGTCCTGCAAAGTCCAGAGCCTCCAGCCTACATATTCTGGAACCACAACGACGCCGTAAGTATTCTATTTCCCACCAAAAGAAAGTATAAAGAACTCGACTTTTTCCGCGAGGTTGAAAACGCAGCCGACAAAACGCACCACGTTCATAATTCAAGAACGAGAGCAAATACGAAGACGTCGCGAAACTGTAATTTATAACCGAGACGGCTTGCACCGATGTCAACTTTGCGCGAGGATAATTGATGGTGATAATAACTCCTGAGAGCCTTGCTGCCGGCTGATATCTTGAAACTCCTATCCTGAGCGGAGAGCAAAGTGAATTTTCAGTTTCTGCTTTAACGAAGTTACTTCGGAATTTTCGACGTCGTCTGAAATCCGTTCCTCGCTCGGGATTAATTTGCTTCACCCCCTCGTAGCCACCCTAACTTTTCTTCCTTTTTATATCCTCCAACTTCTTTTAAGTCTGATCTGCCGCAACTAATAATATCAATAGTTTGGGGGATGATTACACGTGATTTCATGTTACGTGTTCTACTTGATCTGAGACTCATATGTTTTTACTCATATGTTTTTACTCATATGTTTTTACTTATATGTTTTTACTCATATGTTTTTACTCATATGTTTTTACTCATATGTTTTTACTCATATGTTTTTACTCATATGTTTTTACTCATATGTTTTTACTGGGACTCATATGTCTGTCACTGTCTTTTTTATTGAAAAATTAGTTTAACTGCGAAATACAATTTTGATGTAACATTGCTATATTTCAGTTACATTATAATTTTATAACAAACTATTACTACATGATTCTATACTAACACTATATCCTTTCACCTCATTAAGTCGATAATGTAACACCATATAATTTTGTACTGTTCATACCGTATGATTTTACTATATTATTCTACTAATCAAATATAAAATAATTTTATATATTTGCTATATAATATTGCTGATTTAATACTACGTGATCTCACTGCATTAAATTAACGATATAAAATAACATAATTTTAGATCATTAGTGCTACATAATTTTATTACATCAAATTACCAGTTCAATATAGAACAACTTCATCCTATTAACACCACGTAATTTCACCACATCAAATTACCAATCTAACATGACATAATTTAATACTACTAACACTACACAATTCTATTACATCAAATTACCAATCCAATACAAAATCACTTTGTACTAACACCCAATATTACTCTTTAAAATTACATATCTAACACTGTACATAATCCTGGAACCAGGACCAAATGTTTTAGCAAATCCTCCCAAAACAACAACCGTAATTCACCCTACAAAATGACACAATTAAACCTCCTAAATTGAACTCACAAATGACAATTAATTCAACTCCCTACATGAGCATTTTCAACCCCGTGTACTTCTTCCAACTAAGCACGATACGAGAAGCCTACAAAACACTGTGTTTGCCAAGGAAAGTCCAATAAATTTTGATAAGGTCGAGGCAACCGGTATATTGTCAGCGGTACGCAACTGATAATGGCACTTGGGAGACGCCATTAGGCTCATTAAGTCTGACCAACAACCACAGGATTCGCTAGCAGAGGAAGCTGCAAGCTTTAAGACGAATTCCACGGTACATGATTAACGCATGAGGGTGAAACTGCCTTGGAAGTGTTCACGAGACAACAGGGACCACGGTAATTTGCAAAACGATAGCGGAACCATGCATTAATTCTAACGAGCCTTGCTCGCGTTCGCAGATATTCGTATAAATATCTTCGCGAATGATAATGTACGCCGCAAAACGTGCACGCATATCTCTTCCCACAAATTTGCTGTTTAAGAGCTCGTGGGTTTGATATACGGTGTTGTTATTAACTGCGTTTACAGGGTTTTTGTTTTGGGACACGGGTGGGATTTGCAGGGGTTTATGGTAATATGGCTGAGGTGAGAATATTGGAAGTTTGAAAGTTTTTGGATTTGGAGGTTTGGGATATTGGTAGGAAATTGGGAGCTTTGATAGTTGGTAGGTGAAGATTTGGATATTTGGCAAGTTTGGTTTTTGGTGAGGGAGGTTGAGATTTTGGGGATTTGAGAACTGGGGGGTAGAGATTTGAAGGTTTGGGAATTTGAGGATTTGAAAATTTGGGGTTTGGAAATTTGGGAACTTGAGAATTTGGGGATTTAGAAATTTGGTAACTGGAGAATTTGGGGATTTTGCAAATTTGGAAACTTGAGAATTTGGGGATTTAGGAATTTGGAAACTTGAGAATTTGGGATTTGGGAAATTTAGAAACTTGAGAGAATTTGGGGTTTGGAAATTTGGGAACTTAAGAATTTGGGGATTTATAAATTTGGTAACTGGAGAATTTGGGAATTTTGCAAATTTGGGAACTTGAGAATTTGGGGATTTAGAAATTTGGTAACTGGAGAATTTGGGGATTTTGCAAATTTGGAAACTTGAGAATTTGGGGATTTAGGAATTTGGAAACTTGAGAATTTGGGATTTGGGAAATTTAGAAACTTGAGAGAATTTGGGGATTTAGAAATTTGGAAACTTGAGAATTTGAGAATTTAGAAATTTGAAAACTTGAGAATTTCGAGACTTTGGAATTTTGGAAACTTGAGAATTTAAGGTTTGGGAAATTTGGGAACTTGAGAATTTGGAAATTTAAGACTTTGGGAATTTTTAAAAGTTGGAAATTTAAAAACTTCCAAACTTGCAAACTTGAAATTTAGAAATTTGAAAATTTCAAAGCCCACACCTTATCTCCCAATTTCCAAAATTAAATTACAATAATATCTCCACATTTACGAATTCAATACTTGCAAATAATAAATAATACAAACATCACAGAACAAAATACCTCTTAGAGAAACGAGAATGTGACTCCTGAAATCAGATTAACGTCAGCTTCTAAAAATACCCGGTAATTTTCGGAATAATAGCTTGGAAGGGAATTAAAGGTTCGAGTAACAAGAAACACGAAGTAGAATCTTTCTCTGAAGCAGTGATTTAGCTGGAATTTTCTAATTAAATCTAGATAATCTGGGCAATTAAGGAATAGCGCTAAGATCGTAGAACTTTCGGGTACCAGCATGAACTGGCCACATTGTGAGGGATGATCGTTGCTAATCTCTCTTTGAATCTGCTTTAGACTGCTGCGTATTGCGGCTACGATTGCTATAATTAATTCTCTACAAAATATTGCAATATAAAACTTAACTTCAAGGTTGTCATTCATTCTTGTTTTCTAATTTACTATGAAGTACTTAAATACTTTAAAGTCGCTCTTCTTATTTCGTAACCATAATTTCGTAATTTCATTTTCAAAATTAGTAATTTGAATTTTTTGTTTGATATTTTAGTTTTCATTTTTTTTATTTTCTTTAGTAGCTTGATTTTTTATTTGACAACTTAGTTTTGTATTTAATAACTTAATATTTTGATAACGTTTTTTTAACAAAATGTATTTTTGTGTTGAAAATCACTGAGGTATCAAATTTTGAGCGACAGTGCAGAATATTAAAAGCTTGAGTAAACTTCCTGCAGTCTGGACAGCAATTTATCATCCTTCAAAACAATTTATCAATGTAAAATGCAAGACTCCATACTACCTCTATCGAACATCTTTTTAATTATAAAAACTTAAAAACCACTTGGACATTGAATTTCTGTTTACTCCACTAATACCACTTTTGAATTTGGCGCCAAAAACCCTTAACGCTGTAAGTGTACCTCTGAGGCTCCTGCGGCGTTACTCAATCGCATTAAACGCTATAAATTTACAATTCGTTTCTCAATTCTAATAATGATTATTGTGTTTCGTAGAGGAAGTATATTGTTTTCAAATAACATATTATTTCAATAAATGGCGATAGCAATTTTCCTTAAATTTAAAAAGTTTTACTTTTCCGATATACTGTATTTGTTGAGAATCTCTGCTCACCTGTTCCACTAATCGAGAACCTTTCTTCTCTAAAAGAACACAAAAAAGTTAGTTGCCAAGGATTTGGGGATTCGCAAGAAAGGTGTTGTGATGGTTTCGTAGGTAGTCGACGGACCAATAAGGAAGGGAACTCAAATCGTCCCGTGGGAACGAGGTGAAATTGCAATCCTTCGATGATAAGGTGGATCGATCGATCCACGCGACGAAACATTTTCCGGCCGCAAGGAATCCTCGGAGTTTCCCCTTTACGCTCCAATAAACCTCATCCCTTTGATTTCGATTGAATTTCGAGACGGCGCGGCGTCGCGACGCTTCGTCCTCTCTCTTCCGTCCACGTGCAACCAGGAACGTGTGTTTTGTCGAGAGATTGCCGACTGTATACCTGCGGATTTGTCGCCGCACAACCTGTGAGGCCGTGTACGTGTGCGGCCACATCCGACCATATATTTCTGTGTACGCGTTTGTAAATAGAGAAGACCGGCTTGCTCGCAATTAAATTGACTTAACAATTTGCTGGTTGCCTTTTCACTCGACTCCGACGAGACGTGTCTCGTGTGTCTTCCTTTCTACCCTCGGATTTCCGGTGACCAGCTTCCGGTTACTGCTCTACACGTGTCACTTTTTTTTAGAATCGATCGCACTCCAGAATTCGCTTTTGTTTCCATTTGCTGCGACACGATTCTATTAAATGGGGTAACTTTTTTATTTTAGCTCTGCGAGTTTATGATGATAGAATTGAGGTGTTTTTAAGGGAATTCGATTTTTAAACGTAAAAATATGCAAGCTTGAAAATTTTATAAATCAAGGAATTTGTCAATTTGAGAATTTTAAGATGTGAGAATAAACATCCCTTTTTTGACTAACAAGGGACATTACCCAATCGCCAATCGCCGATTTTGATGCGCTTTGAGTATGATATAGAACACAAAAAAATATTTGATACGTATTTTTTTTTATCGGCCATCGTCCATGCTGAAGGGGTGAAAATGGCCCCCAAAGTTGGGGTTGCAAAACATATTTTCTCGAATATCTCAGGAACTATTAGGCCTAGACAAAAAATTAAAAGTGCAAATTTTTCTGTTTTAGAAGGCCAATAATA